GGACGGCCTCCACTGCGGCGTCGCCCTCGGCAACGAATCGCCCCGGGCCCCTCCTCTGAGAGGGACGCAAAGACTTCGCCGCCTCGCGAGCGTCTGCCTGGCCCCACAAGCCCGGCGGCACCAAAAAGCACTCGCCTCTCGGGAGGCCCAAGACGCCTCTCGGGAGGCCCAAGACGCCTCTCGGGAGGCCCAAGACGCCTCTCGGGAGGCCCAAGACGCCTCTCGGGAGAGGCCCAATGCGCCTCTGAGGAGGCCTCTCAGGACTTCTCCGAAGGCCTCTGGAGAACTACTCTGGAACTCGCACTGGGGAATGGATCAATTTACCAGGGAAAGACCCAGATGAACTGGAAAAGGAATTCTTTTGCACTCCCCCTCCCCCCTTGAGAACCTCGGCATCCGCCTCCCCCCCCGCCTCCCTCCTCCGCGTCCTCCTCTTACCCGCCTCCTAATCCTTCTCCTCCTCCTCCTCCTCATCCTCCTCCTCCTCCTCCTCCTCCTCCTCCTCCTCCTTCCCCTCCTCCTCCACTTCTTTTGGGTGGGCACCCGCGGACAACGTCCCCCAAGCGCGCACCTCCCCGTGAACACCCTTCCAATACACGCAGAGGCTAACACTCTACGACAGGTATAGGGGCGACGGGGCGATGCTGATCAGCCGAAGGCCCCGATGCGTCAGCACTAGATGCACGCCATCATTTCCGACGCATGCGATCTTGTCTGGACTGGTAAGGCTTCTCTCCGCAAACACGACAAGCAGGTTTCGGGCGGGCGGGCCATGGTGCTCAAGGTGTGGTGGAGGCCCCCAGGGGAGGCCGGAGGAGGGCCCACCGACGCCCCAGGACAGATCCTGGATCCTCGGACCCCGATCCTGTGGACCTCGGGCCCGGCCCCTCGAACCTCGACCCTGACTCGACGTCGACGACGACCACCACCACGACGACCACGACGTCGACGACGACGACGTCGACGGCGACCACGACGACGACCACGAAACGACCACGGCGACGACGACGACGACGACAACGACGACGACGCCGGCAACGACCACGGCGTCGACGACGCAGACCGCGACCACGACGACGACGCACGCGACCACGACGACGTCGACGAACGACGTCAACGACGACGACGACGACCACCACCACCACTACCACCACGACCACGACGTCGACGACGACGTCGACCACGACGACGACCACGGCGACGACGACGACGACGACGACCACGACCACGACCACGACAACGACGACGACAACGACGATGTTCACGACGACGGCGACGCCGACGACCACCACGACGACGTCGACGATGACGACGACGACCACGACGACGTCAACGGTGAAGACGACGACGACGAAGACGACGACGACGACGACCACGACGACGCTCACGACGACGACGGCGACGACGACGACGACGACGATCACGACGACGACGACGACGATGACGACGACGACCACGACGACGACGACCACGCTCACGACGACGACCACGAAGACGACGACGACGACGAAGCCGGAACAGGCCCGCGGGACGCGGTGCAAGGGAGTGCGGTTCGGCGCCTGGCGCCGAACAGCGCCCACAGCCACGTGAGGAACCAACCGCACCCGCTGCCCCAGTCGAGCACGGCGTGGCCCTGCCTGAGCTGGAGAGCCTCAGGGGGGCAAATCGCGGTGCGGCAGGCGTTTACGTCGCGGCGCGGCAGAGGCGGTCCGCACGTGCGCTCGGGCGAGCCGGTTAGCGGCACTGCGGGGTGTGCCGGCAGTAGGAATGGAAGGAGGAGGAGGAGGAGGAGGAGGAGGGAGGAGCAGGAGGAGCAGGACGACGAGCACGAGGAGGAGCAGGAGGAGGAAGAGGGGGAGGAGGAGGGGGAGGAGAAGGAGGAGGACTAGGTGGAGGAGGAGGAGGAGGAGGAGGAGGAGGAGGAGGAGGAGCGATGGGGGTCCAAAAATCGCGCCACATCGCCAATACATCGGCGATGTATCGCCGATGCATCGGCGATGCATCGGCGACATGCGCGTGAAGAAAGTCGGGCTCCGCATCGAGCCGCATCGGAGATGCACAGGCGATGCGGCGCGATCCTCCGACCCCATATGCTCGGGCCCCATCTGGGAAGCCTGGAGTGTCGTTCTCATGACTCAAGGTGGTCCGGTTCAGACAGCGGAAGAAAACTCCGAAGCTCGGTCCTCGAGAAGGGCGAGGCTGGAAGAAGGCGCGCCCGCTGCAGGATTTGAGCAGAGACCGACTGTCCCGGCATTCCCATAGGCCTACCACGGCATGTTCTTTGAACCCCAAAACAATTGTCTAAGAACAGAAGCCCGATGTTCTGAAACAAGACGGCCTCAGACAGAAATGTTCTAAGAACAATCCGTGCAGACCAGAGGTTCTTAGGACATTCTCTGGTGGGCCTATAGGCAAGCCAGGACGCTTCACCACTGCTCGAAAGACCTGGCCCCCGCACTCCGCCCGCTCCGGCTCGCCGCCTCGCCGACCACCACGGCGACGCACTTCAGCTGGCCCTCGATCCGCTTGCCTCGGCACGGGCACAGGGACTCGCGCAGGGTGCGGGGCCACCAAGCCGGCTACACGCAAGGGTGATCCTGGGCAAGAGCGACCGTCAAAGCGCGGCTTCCTTGAGGGCCGCGGGGGGGGGCCACACACAAGCGCGCTAAAACGCCACGATCGCACCGCACTCGGCGATCGGGGGGCCCGGGTGGGCGCGCACCAAAAGGTCACTCCGGCCAAGGGTTACTCTTACATGGTCGACGAAGATCCCGGCGAGGCAATGTCTTCACAGCGGGCGTCCTCGCCCGGTTCCTGGCCCCAGGACCCGCACAGATCGATCCGGCTCGAAAATCGACGCAGAAAGATGGGGTCTGGGGCTCTGGTCATGACGTATCCGCGACGTCGCATGCTTGTTCGCAGCATCGGAGCTCCAGGATGGCTGGATTTAAGTCGGGCCTGTCCCCTACAGGGGGATTTGGGGCGAAAAATTAGACATAGTCCAAAAAATATCCCGAAATGGTTTGAACATGCTCAACAAATAATCCCCAGATTATTTTTTAAAATTTTTTGAATATGCCCCCTGTAGAGGGACAGGCCCGACCGAAAGCTAGATCTTTGTTAGGAGGATGGGGGGGGGAACTTTGCCGTCAGAGGCACCATTGCCGTCACCCCAGTGCGTGCGCGCCTCATGTGGCAGGCATGTGGCTGTGGGGCCCAAAGCGTCTCTTGCACCAAGCACTGGCATTAGGTCGGGCCTGTCCCCCTACAGACGGACTCTGGACGATAAATAAAAAATACCCCCAAAATGCCCCAAAGATGCCCCAAAATAGTCAAAAAATCGTCCCCTGACTATTGTTTGACTATGTTTGAATACTCCTCCTGTACAGGGACAAGCCCGACTTAAGACTACATGCGAGCAGGAAGAGAGGTGCACCGGGCATCCTGGAGCCCAGTGTTGCCCCCACCCGCCGTCCCCGCTGAACGTGCCCTGGGGCGGACACAAGGTGACTCCGATTCTGTATTGTGTGAAGGAGAAGAAGAATAAGAACAAGAAGAAGAAGACGAAAAAGAAAAAGAAGGAAAAGAGAAAGAAACACTGCACTAACACCAACTTTTGGCGCTCCGCGCGGACTTCTTGCATCCGCGCTGGACCCCCCTGCCTTTGCGCGCGGCGCGCGCCAGGGGCGGCGCCGGAGGCGACGGCAGGGAGCACAGCGCGGATCCAGGAAATCCGAGCGGAGCGCCAGAGTCCATGTTTCTGGCGTTTGTTTATTCTTCGAAATGTCCTGTACAGCCCTCGCGCTGCCACAAGGAGCGCCCAAGAAGGAACCAACGGGGGCCGCGCTCGTCATGGCGAGCCTTGGTCACGAGGAGGGACCCCCACCCAGGTCTGAGCAATACGGTCGAAGCGGATTGGAGAGGACACGCGAGAAGACACAAGACCCTTCCAAGGCGGGGGGCCCAAAAATATACACCACCACCACCTCCCTCAACCCCTCCCTCTCCCAGGAAAGAGGAAGGGAAGAGGAGGGTAGGGGAGAGATAAGGAATCGACGTGGTGGTGGTGTAGATTCTTTGGGCCCCCACAGGGGCCACGTCGCCAGCCAGGAGTGTAGAAGGCATGGGTCGCGAAACATGGGACAATGGTACCCTCGATCTGGCAGGGTCGACCTGCTAATCAGCCTCGACTGTGCGGCCCGACAAACCAGAGCCCCTCACTGCACTCATCCGCCAGAGTAGTCCTCGCATTCCTCTTGGGGGAGGCAGTGCCAGGGGGGCTCAGAGGACAGTCTTCCTACTCATCCTCGTCCTCGTCCTCGACCTCCTCCTCCTCCTCCTCCGACCGAGACTTCCAGCACCCCCTTCCGTGTCTGAGGGCCAGACGGTGAAAACTCATCGAAACACCACCTTGCCAGTATCGGGCTTCCCCTCCTCCGTGGAGCTAAAGAGAGAGAAACTTTCTGTCGCGGACGCCTTGCGCTGCCGAAGCCGAGGCTTCCGGAGTCTCCCTCCCGTAACCCATGCCCGTGGTTCGCTCTGATGGCCAAGAAAAGCGGAGCACTCTTCTGTGTCAGCTTATTGCAGTCTAGCCATGGCGCTCTATTCTCCTTTCTGAAAGACTAATAGAGTCTACCCCCCCCCGGACTTATCGGTTACCCCGCGCGTGCTGCAAATTACATATGATTCTGACCACATGTCCATTTTAAATATGAATTCATACTATCCCAGCCAAGCCGGTATCCCCCCCCCTGCGGTTCCCTTGTAAAAAACACTATGCGGTGACATTTTGTTCTAACATAACACTTGTTTTTACGAATCCCTTGCAAAAAATAGGACGAAGTGCACACGCGCGCGTCGTCGCGCGCGCATGCCGAAATCCTTCAAAAACCTTCGGTGCCGGAAGGTTTTCGCAATCGAGTTTCTCAAAAACATACAAAAACACCTGGTTTCGCAAAACTGATTTACTAAAAAACCTTCCGCGTGAGGTCTTGCGAAAT